ATTAGAATAGACAGCTAGGTTCGTATTTGTTCAATACACAAAACAGAGAAATGTCTCACACAGATTATCTCTGATGACAGTCCAGCAGGGCTCTAAGAGAGGTTAGGGGACAAACCAAAGCTCTAGAAAGTACAGAGACGTCACTAGGGTCACCCAACTCACAGATGGTAAGACCAGAATCAGAGCCTACTTCTGTTTGTCTGTTTTATTCAAATCCTAGGTTCTTCCCATCACAATCTAGAAACTGCTTCTTCAATAAGTTGAAGGCTGAATAAGCAATAACACAATTAGAGGCAAATGCTAGGCACAAATACGCTGTTTTATCGTCCGTGTTCTTCAGGGGCAAAAGTGAAGTTTAAAAAAACAATCAAAAAACCCAGCTGCTTGATGTGCAAAGTAAGGGAAGTCACCCAGCTTCCTCCTGCCAACAGGGCTGCGGAGTGTGAGAATAAGGAGATCATCCTCGCAAACAAATATTAAATTTTTACAAGCTGGCCCACCTTCCTGCCCAGGAGGTAAACACCTAGCTGCTAAGTAATTTTATTTTTTCCTCTGTTCACTAAAAAAGCTCAGTTTCCTTGAAGAGGAACTATGCTTCCCAGTTGATTTGCAATTGGGAGTTGGAGTTATACCCCACCAATTTTTCTTTAAACATCCTTCCATCTAGGGGACACAGGCATATACTGTGCTATTTTCTATGACGTAAACCCTCGTTCACATGTATTTTTGTATTTAGTTTTTCTCATCTACCCTTTTCCTTCATCGCAGAGCTTGCGTAATGAGATGACCAAAAATACACGTAAAGAGGAGACAGAAACAAGTTCACCTTTATTTCTCCTTCTCCCCACACAACACAAAGAACTCCCTTTCTAAATACAGTCTCTGCCAGTTTTTCTGCCACTGGTATCTTGACCGTGTTCACAGGGCCTGTGCTTACATAGTGGGATAATGTCATGCATATGTTTTCAACTATGTTGTCCCTTACATCATAAAATAGAAAATATAATTTGTCCGCCTTAGGACATACAAACCAAGAACCTGGCTTACTACAAAAGGCTGTTCCGGGGCGTCTGAGTGGCTCAGTGAGTTAAAGCCTCTGCCTTCGGCTCAGGTCATGATCCCAGGGTCCTGGGATCAAGCCCTGCATCGGGCTCTGCTCGGCAGGGAGCCTGCTTCCTCCTCTCTCTCTCTCTCTCTCTCTGCCTGCCTCTCTGTCTGCTTGTGATCTCTGTCAAATAAATAAATAAAATCTTAAAAAAAAAAAGGGCTATTTAGCCTTACTGTTTTCTAAGTATTATTCAAATTTTTAGGATGATAAACAGTATGTCATAAAAGCGTTTCTGATAGTCTGGATTATCCTTCAAGGACAGAGTCCCTGAAGTAGTCATATAGGGTCAAGGTCTTGGGCATTGACACCATTAAATCTCTTTCTCAAAAGATTATGGCAATTTCCAGCTCTGGTAGGAGTATGTTAAGAGCACCTGGGTATCATTCTTTTACAATCTTTTAAACTAGAGCGTGCCCACTGTCACCAGGTATACTGCAGAAGTAAAAAGGATTGGATGTAACAAGGCAAGCCTTAAATGAAAAGTTGCTGAAAATCTTGTCTGGAAAATAAATCTAATTGCTGTAATTGACAGTGAAAGCCAAAAGAAGCACCCTACCACTATTATTATATTATTATTAGCATTAGAAAGGTACTTCATTTGCCAAAGCATTTTATAATCACATATTGGTTAATCCCCGTAATGTGCTTTGGAACCAATGAAGCTATTTATAGCCAGATTTTCTGAGCAAAAAGTCTTTCAAAAGTTCTTTTGTCTTGATATCTCAAGTCAGGATCGCCAGCACATCAATGCACAGACATGGTCATTTGCCGAATTTCAAGGATGGGAGGGACTCAACTGGTCATCTGGACCAAGATCAAGTAGTCCCTGACGGGCCATGCAGAATTTCCCGAATGCATACTAAGAATCTGCTTTCTTCTCAACCCCCCATGCCTCTACGAAAGCGTGGCATGCCATCAGTGGCCAATTATAAATCTACTGCTACTTTTAAATGTAACATCTTTGTGCTACACAGTGACTGTATCAGTAAAAGTTTATGCTCCATGGGATTCCTTAGGGTTTCAGCAACTACTGAAATTATTTGATTTGCAGCTAAAGCAACAGTGATACTATTTATGCCCAACAACGCCGAATGTTTTTATGGCTTTAAAATTTGCCATAATTGAGAAATAGCACAAGTGACTATCTGTGATCATGCAAATACTCTTTTCTAAAAAGGGGGCATTCCTCCGCCCCCACCTAGTCAAGGAGGGATCAGAGTTCTTTAGTGGTGACAAGAAATAAACACAAAAATGTTGAGAACCAGTCATCTAATTCAGTGTTAGCAGACAAAACGCCTGGTTTCAAGCATTAGATGAAGGCTGCAAGAACCCGTACAAGGAGTCTTAAAAACAGCACAGGGGCGATGGCGGTAGAGAAAGAGCCTCTCACCTCAAGTCAGAAGATGAGGTTGAGCCCCGCTTAGTCATTCTTTATTCGGTGTTTCCATCCCCTCCTACGACGTGCAGCTGGAATCCCGATGCCAGCCACACAGAGCTAAGAGGAGGGAACGGACAGACCCTACCACTAGCTGACACTGTTCTGTGACCTGGTGATTACTCATTTCTCTCCTTTCCTGACTCTGGGTTTGAGGGGTGGAGGCAAGGAATCCCCCCACTCCTGGGTGGGGAGCAGATTTGCTTGCTGACTATCAGCACAGCAGGGCACCAGGAAAAGACCCGCCCAGGTGAGTTCAGTACAAACAACGGAGCGAATAAATTTTGTCCTCAACCTACTAAATTCTGGGGTGTACGGATTCACAGCAAAAGTTAAATAACCGAAGAACTAAAGTCTAAAGGTTTAAAAGGACCTGCTGAAAGTCACTCAGTATAGAGTGACATGAGTATGGCACCAGGTCTGACCCAGATCTATTAGTTAACTGGTGGAATAAATATATCTTCAGGTTATTTATTAATGACGCTTCCCAGATTCACTAGTTAAACAAGTAAACATTGACTGGGCATCAGACACTTGTGAAGTCCATCCCTAAGATATGGGAAATATACAAACATAAGGCATGGTTTCTGTCCCCACAACTCCCATATTCTACTAAACAGACAAACGTGAATAAACAAAAGACAACATACTAAGTGCCGTGATAGAAAGATGCACAGGGCATTATGGGCTGGGAGAAGGGGAGCCCTAGCCCAGACTTTCAGGTACAGGTGGGCCTTCTGTTAAAAGGATAAGGAGTTTGCAAAGTTGGGAGGGGTAAGAGGAGGGAGGAGGTGAGAAATGGACAAACAGAGCAGCACGGGGAAAACAGGGGTGGCACACCCAGGAGAGCGTGGAAGCTAGAAGCAGGTCAGTGCTGCTGGAGAGTAAAGTCCCAGCAAGGGGAAGAGAGAGCAAGCATGCTGAGAATGACAGCAGGTCCCGATGGTCTGTGTGCCGTGATAAAGAAGCTCGATTCTCTCCCCTCTATGACAAGAAGCCAGTGAAAAGTTTGAAGACATCAGATGTGCCTTTCTGAAATATTACCTGGCCTTAGAGGCCGGATCTGTGGGGACTGGAAGGAAGAGGAGGAGAGAGAACATGCAGACCTCCACTGCCAGGTGCAATAGGGATGAAAAAGGGATGGAATTAACCATATGAAGAGGGAGAGCTTCTGAGTGCATCACAGGGGGCTGGGTGGGGGGTCTGAGAGAGAAAGCGGAACCAACGGTCGGTAACTGCACATTGATCTTTGTTTCGTTGAGCTCTATTCCTACCGCTCAGGACCCTTTGGATCTTGGCTACAGCCATGGATAAGCTTCATCTAAACCCTTGGTAAGAATGTTAGAAAAGAGCCAAAGATACTGGCTAGAACTACAAACTCAATTCTGGATACACCAATAGGTCTAGATATCAATCAAGCGGAACAGTGAAAACACAAAAGAAAGTTCATGTTAAAAAGCAGAAGCAAATGACAGGAGTTTAACTTGGATAAGAGATGACTTGGGAGAGGCAGGATCACTTCCAGGTGGAAGAGGAACCCATCCTTTGCAGGGCTGTCTCCATGCGGATCCACTAGGACCCACAGACATCAGCTACGGGTTGGAAAATTTCAGCTTCATATAAGGCAGGACTTTCTGATGGTTAGAAATGCCCAGACGTGGGACAGGCTACAATGGACTAGAGTAAGCAAACTTTATGAGTTTGCTACAGCTGTCCTAACAGACTACCACGCATTGCGGGGGAAGGGGGTGGTGCTTAAACAACAGAAACTTAGTTTCTATGGTTCTGGTGGCTGGAAGTCTGACATCAGGTGCCGGCAGGGATGGGGTCTCCTGAGCCCCCCCCCACCGCCTTCCTGGGCTTGGAGGTGGGCGTCTTCTCCCCATGTCCTCTGTGTGAGGCTGTGTCCCAATCCCCTCTCTGTATCAGGACACCAGTCATACAGGACTACAGTGCATTCATAATGCCCCAATTTGATTGAATTACCTCTTTAAAGGCCAACCTCCAAATACAGTTCACATTCTGAGTTACTGGGGCGAGGGCTGCAACACATCAATTTCAGGGCGACACGTTCAGTCCATCACACAACCTGTCCACAGGGGCGTGGACACAGAGAGGTCTGGTGACTGCCAGGCAAGGGAAGGCCAGCAAAGGAACGGAAGCCTCAAATCTGAAGCGTCCCTGAAGCTCCCGTTAGGTCTAAGACCTACAACCCTCAACAACGTTGGGACAGCACCTCATTGTTGTTGTTTAACATTATTAACACAAAATTTTCCGCCGGGTTCCAGACAAAAATCACACTCTCACAGCAGCTTTGATGACGGATGAGAAATGGTCTTCTGCACCCCACCACCCCCGAGGGGGCCTACAGGCCGCGGTCACACGCACGAGTCACACACAGGAGACGTGCGCCCAAGCCTCGTGCACCAGCCCACGGAGCACCGCGGCCGCGCTTACCTATGGAACAGGACGGACTTGACCAAGGTGACGACGTCGCGGCTGGCGTTATACCCGGCACAGACGATGGCAACGTGGATTGTCTGGGAAGCAAAGAACACAGAGCAGGCGGTCAGACAGATGGAAGCGGGCCTTTCTGGTGCTTCAGACCACGTGGAAAAGAAAAATCACCCCGATCTCTTGGGGGATCGTTAGAAAACAAAGGGCATAGTTTGCAGCTGCGGAAAATAACTTGAGATGGTTTTATTGAGGCCTGTTTAATCGGTTTATGGGGCTATCATCATCTGGAAACCGTTAAGGCTCTTTGCAATTACATTTTGGGGACGAGAGAAAGGGTGATCGGCTCAAACAGGCAAACAGTGAGTCCCCTACCCCCACTCTGGGAGATGGTGACAAATGGTGACAAGAGAGAGGAAAGAAATACATCCCGAAAGGAAAAACTGACAGTCAGGGATCTTAGACTGAGAAGCAATCGCTTGAAGCTAGGAACGGTTCTCGTAAGACGTCTCAGGGTAGGGGCGCCTGGCTGGGCTGAGAGACCGGTGAACGTCTGTAACAAGGGCCCCCGCTGGGACACCATTCCAAGAACTGAAGGCTGGCAGAATTGAAGGGAACCTTATGGGCCACCTCCTCGGAGCAGTCAAGGGCACAGGCTCTGGACATGAACCCTGGCTCCGTCCTTTAGCCCCAGGCGACCTGGGAAAGTGGTGGCAGGAGGGGACTGAAAGTAACCCAAGGGCCATAACACGTCCTGCAGGAGGTCATGGAGTACACAGGGGATAACACCAAGAGCAGAATGTGGTGCTGGGCACACTGCCTTCCAATCACAACAGAGATGGTCTCTAGAGCTGAGCTTCCCAAACAGGGTCCCTTGGCACCCCAGTGGGCTGTACCGTGAATTACAGGACAAGAAGTCACTTATCTCTTCAAGGGAGTGCTCAAGGCTACCAGGCAGGGCTGGCTCCCTCAGGCTGGGCTACCCTCCAAGCTTCAGCAATCTGACAAAGATTGAGAACTCCTGCTCTAGGCCATCCCATACAGAAAGTCATCTGGCCTCTCAGAACAGTTCCCTGAATGTAGGGTTCATGCCTCTGGGTATATCTTTTATGGAAGCGCAGCCTTCCCTGAATTGAAATCGGCCTCCTAACACTCACCCCAGCCTGCTCTGTTCTGGGAGGAAGGCAGAACAAGCACGTTCCCTCCAGCACCCCATACCTAATGAAACCACTCACAACCCTTGTTCCCAGGACACAGCTTCTGGAACCTCCATCACTCTAATCAGCTAGTTCAAAACTCAGTTCTGTTGACTGTGCACTGCTTTTGAAACTTCCTAGGAGTCTAGAATTACTTAAAAGTAAAAGGTGAAAAAAAAAAAAAAAGGCCAGGGGAGGGGTGGAAGGGAAGAAAAATGAAGTTCTGGTATCCTCGTCCCTCCCCTCCAGGCTCTCAGGACAATGACCTCTGGTTCTCAGGCCTTCTTCCCCACCCCACCCACCATATCACCCAGGAGTTAACTCAGGCTTAGGCCGATGGGATTCGAACTCTGGAACAGAGATTCCTTACCCTTCTAGTACACCAGAAACACCTGAAAGATTTTTAAACTACACCTTATGCCCCAACCCCACCTCAGACCAATTAACTCACTGTCTCTGATGACCAGGATCTAAGGTTCTCCATTCGAGACAAACGTGACCCCCCTGCCCTGCCCAGAACGTCCGACAAAGTTTGGAGTCCTTTTCGGTGGTCACTCCTGGGGGGAGGCAGAGGCAGGGCTGCTGCTGACCCCCTACAAGGCACAACGTGGCCACCACAACAGAGAATTATCCTGCCCCAAAGCTCACAGGGCTGTCATGAGGAAATTCCGCTTTCAGAGAGGAGCAAGAGGAGGTGCGGGGAAACTGAGACCCACAAGCTCCCAACCCAACCTCATCTCACATAAAATTAGACCACACTGTGCATATCTTAATTTCTCCGCCTGCAAAACGAGGACACCACAGCTCATCTCTGGATATTCTTTCCCAAAGACTCAGGATGAAACAACGTAACGTGAAATGCAACTGTCACCATTTCAGTCACGAACGAAATGAAAAGGAAGACGCCTGCACGAGGAGACATAGCCAAGAAGGGGACGAGAATGGATAAAAGCTGAATCAGGCTCTCTGGAACCACAAATATTTAAACACGAGATATCAAATGCTGTCTTGGCTTCAGGGTTCAGTGGCTTTTGAAAATGGTCCCATTAAACATAAGCACGAGCACAAACATTCTCAAACCCTCTATATAATTTTCCAATCTCTTTAGTTTCATCCAATACACCTTGCCACCATGAATAAATTCATCATGGGGCGCTACAGCAACAAAGCCCGCTTCCCCAGGAAGGCAGAAAATCCAAGCGCCGTGAACATGCTCTTTGGGGAGTTCTGGACGGTCCCAACTTTTGTGGGGACGGGAGTGAATGCCAAGAATGGGACGGGGGCTGGGTTCAGAGTGAAGAGGGTACAGGGATGGACGCTCCTTGGAAGCAGAGTCACAAATATGCTCTCACCACGATAACTTGGTTTGGAAGCTACGAAGTCCAGGTTTCAAGTGTTTCGATGTAGTGACTTAAAGATGACCGACTGATGGTCACAGTGACTGGGACATTCCTCTCCTCAGAGTGAAGGGTCTAAAGGTCAGATTCAGCGACCACTGGCCACTTATCAAGAATTCCTCCTTTCTCTTAGGTAGATGTCATACTTGCCTTTACTGGTCCCAACGCTCGGACAGGGGTGATGATCTTATCTGCTCGTCCCCCACTCTCACTCCTTTCCAACTCACCCCGTGCCTGAGCACCTGACCTTTACAGACCGAATAACCAGGCTCCCACTGCCTCTGGTTTCTGGTTGAGTTTGGTTACAGGGAGGCCTGAAGGCAGGTGCAAAGAGAGGTCGGATCCCCTGCGCCTTTCAGAAGCCCTCTCCCATTGTTTCAGCTCTGCTGGGCTCCGTAAGGCCACCTGCCTCACACCCCACAGGCCCAGGGATTGTAGTGACTCCCTCCAGGGAGCTCCATCACCCTCGCTGGCTCCCATGCCTATGGCCCTGCCTTAATGGTCTTCCTCTCTTTTGAATGTGCCATTGGTCTCCTTCTAGGACCTGACCAATTCCAGTGACCCTCCCTTAGCCTCGCATGGGTCCTGGTGGCTGGAAGGGAGGCACAGGTGGCCCTGAAGCTGATCCCTAAGGTGAAACGAGGCAGGAGAGCACCAACAGAGCAAACTGGAGAATGCGTCAGCTGTGTTTATAAATTCTAAGCAGCCTGACGAAGCTCTCAGACACATGGACCACAGGTTCTTTCCAAGGAAGCCCACAGAGCTTCCCGTTCATTCCCTCAAGTCCTGACTCTGGTGCTCAGCACACACCCACGAGCTGCACCTGGAAGACATGATGTAGTCGAACTGGGGCCGAGTGAGTGACGTCCTAGATCCTTCTAGGACTTAGAAGAAGGATCCAGGCATGACATGGGCGTTCCTGGAATCCCTGATATGCCAGGCACTGTGTTGTGCTCAGAGCCCAGAAAGGCGAGTCAGTCCCCCGGGGTCAAGTGAAGAGGGAGAAAGACCGCTAACCGGACAATCCCATCAGGGACGGGGAAGGCTCCTGTGATGGTGACCTCAGTGCCCTTGCGTGCCAGGGTAGCCTGGGCCACCGGGACCAAAAGGATGCCGGAGAGCTTCCGGGAGGAGAGGGCATTCCAGCGACTCAGCCAGGGCAATCGTCACTCCTGACGTCAGGGCCTGCTGGGATTCATGGCTCTCTGCTTGTCAGCCTTCAAAAGAACCAGAAAAAGAACATTCTCTGTGTTCTGCACCCCCCGCCCCCACCCCAACACACAAGAAAAAAGTCTCCATGGGGTTGGTTTCTCAAACAGGGATGCAGGGGAAAAAATGTCCCAAAAGAAATCCAGAAGAAACTAAGGGGTGGCAGGCAAGGCGTGAGCCTGAGAAGGAATCAGTACCGTGCCCAGCTGTGCTGCCCCCAGCAACAGCGGGAGAAGCAGGACACAGAGGGCCCGGGATTCCTTGCAGGACACTGTCCGGGGCACCACTGAGTGCGAGCACCTCCTGTTGGGGAAACTGCCGGCAAGGAGAGAGAGGGGAGACCCATTTCAGCACCAGCATCTGTGCTGTAAAAAGTCAGCCCACATTCGGGGGACAGTGGGAGACCTCTGTGTGGGGGAGGCTGGCCTCCCAGAGGACAGGTGGCTGGGGAGAAGCAGACGGCCAGGGGACAGAGGTGGGGCAGGGGTGGCTTTGTGGAGAAAACCCCACTGGAGTGAAGAGATGTGGTCTGAGCTGCAACATCAAAGCTAAGCTATGGCTGTGTGACCTTGGAGCATCATTCGTGTCCCTGGGCTTCCCGGCCGTGTCTGTAAAATGGAGATAAAAGAGGGCACCGCACTGGGTCGCTGTGCGCATCACACAAGTGCAAGGAAGCGCCCCTGATGGACGGGTGCCGCTTGCCAGATGCCTAAATAGCACATGGGGAAATTGCTCAACACCGCTGCACTTGAACTCCCTCACCTACACAACAGGGACTCAACACCACTCGTCCTCAAGGGGTTGAGGACGAGGAGTTAAGTGGCTCTCAAACTCCGCGTGCAACACGATCCTTGGACGGCTTGTTCAGACAGAGCGAGGGGTGGTGGCGGGGGCAGCGGGGACTCTTTCCCCGAGTTTCTGACCCAGGAGGTTCGACATGGGGCCTAAGGACTGCTGACATCCAAGGGATGCCGATGCTGCTGTCCTGGGACCACCCTTTGAGAACAGATGCTCTAGCTAAGTGCTCTGAAGAATGTCAAACACACACTCAACCAGACGTTAGCCGTGGTCACACTGAGAGTATGGGAGGTGTTCCAAGAATCTGTTTCCAGTGCCTCTCCAGTGGACTGCATAAAAGTCCGTGCACTCGTATAAAAGAACAAGAGACAGCACCCATCACTGTCCCTAGGTCCTGAAATTCATGACTCTCTCAGGGTGAGGACAAGGCAAAGGAGGAGGACTCAAGATGTGGGTTTTTTCTGTGCAAAAAACAAAACCGTGGAA